ATTGGTCACTTGCAATGTTGAACCTGGAACAACATTTTCATGATGGTCTGGGAACAACACCAACACGAGGATATCAGATCATCCTCCTGAAACTGTCCTTGTGTGGGTGTGGTGGTGTTCTCTCTCCGCCTCCTCCTCTCTTGCTCCACCCCTCTGTCTCTCTCTCACTCTTCTCTCTCCCCAGGACACAGCTCTTGTTCATTGGCCTCGTTTACCACCTGGGCCCAGTCAGCAATCACTTCTCTGAGGTTATATAAGCTGGAGATGAACTGTATGTGTGGTGGTTTTTCCCCTGTGGCTCTACACCAGTTCTCTAGGTGTTGGAAAGGGTCCTTTGTGTGTCTGTCATGCCTGTGTTGAGGAGTTAAGTTGAGTGAGTAGATGGGCTTGTGGGCCCCAGAAGTGTCTCCTTTATTTGTTAGGTGGTTTTTTCCTTTGTTGCTGCAACTGCTTCCTTTTTTTTTTTGCATTATTGATAAAACGGTGTTGCTGGCTCTTTTGGTCAAGATTATTTGTAATAAAGCTATATTATATATTGACTGTCTGGTTTCCTTTTCATTCCATTCTGGACCCGCTTGTTACCGATCCCCACACTCACATCCCTAGACCTCTTAGTGGTGACGTAACACTGTACACAGCCTCTATTTGCTGCAAGCAAATATCTATATATGAGTATTCAATTGAAATGTTCAATATTGAGATTCTTTCAGAATTAGAGTCCCTGAACAATTTAAAAGATAAGAAGTTTAAGTGTAACAAGCCTGTAAATGAATGTTCCCCCACACAATAAGAAATATACATGATTATAAACTTCAGGGAGCCTAGATTACCCTTTATTTATCAACAGTTATTGAATCACTGGCTCAAAGTCAGGCTCTGAACTAAGTGACCTGTGACGAATGTTGAAAGTCTTTGTGAAAATCGTGTGACTTACATTTCACATCAATAGTGATGGATTTAAGTTTTGACCCCAGCTTGTTCACAGCTCTACAGTAATACTCTCCAGAGTCAGAGGACTGGATGGAGTTGAAGATGAGCTGTGGGTTTTTGCTGAGTGGTTGGCTGTTCCTCTTGTACCAGACAAACGTAGCTGCTGGGTTAGCATCACTGCTACAGGTCAGAGTCACTGCAGTGCCCTCTGTGATTTCACCAGACGGACTCACTGACACAGAGGGAGGCTTTGGATCATCTGGAGGAAACACAGGGAGACAAAAGCATGTTATTAGTTCCTTCAAAGGTTGAATTATTAAACAGATCAAACAACTCAATGAACCTGATGCTACTGGAGCTTCTCAGTAATGAGATTTGGATGGTGTTATCAGAGAGATGTTCTCAGTCCCATTGTAACTTTATGATCTGAATAAATGGCAAAATGTTCTAAACAAAACAAGGCTAAAAAAGCTGTTTTACTCACATTTCACATCAACAGAAATGTTTGTAGGTGTTGATGTTCCCAGCCTGTTCTCAGCTGTACAGTAATACTCTCCAGAGTCAGCAGGCTGGATGGAGCTGAAGGAGAGCTGTGAATCTGTACTGACAGGTGTTTGATTGTTCATCTTGTACCAGACATATGCAGCTGCTGGGTTAGCATCACTGCTACAGGTCAGAGTCACTGAAACGTTCTCCTTGATTTCACCAGAAGGACTCACTGACACAGAGGGAGGCTTTGGAGCATCTGGAAGAGAGAACACAGGGAAATAACTGTAGTTTGAATTTCTGACCAAATCAACTAACTGTGTAAGTGTACAATAACAGGAGTGAAGGGTTCTGGATGTTGTTAGCAGGAATGTCGTCATCCTCAGACATACTGTGACTGAATGAGTGGATCAAATTACAGTTCATTTCTGGGAACATGAAGGCCAGTTCAAACTTTCCACCATCACTGTGTCAGTAAAGGAAAGATTTGCAGATTGTCTAGAAACCACAGACAGATGTGTTTTACAGACGCTTCGATAATTTTACTTCTAATTGGAAAAAACAATATGCTTAACAGCATGTGTGGCTTTGTGACATATTTCTCTTTTAGTTTGCATTTCTAGGCATACATCAGGGTTTGGTTTGATTATGTAAACAACAAATGAGAAGAACAAAAATACACAAACTAAATAAAGACTGCTTTATACTGGAGATCTTCTGGACCAGCTACTGTAGTTAAAAACACTGAAATCAGTTTTATGTAGTAAAGTTCAGGTCTTCAAGTATGTGTTGTGAGTAAAACAGAGAGAGAGCACTGTGGTATGAAACTGTTCCAGCCGCCAGGGGACACCATGTTTCATCTTTGACAGATGCAGTTTTCTGGCATTCAGTACAGATCATCTACAGATGGAGAACAGATGATCATATATGTTTTTAAACTTGATAGATCCTAGACTTTCCCTTCATTTTTAGCAGCTGTTGAATCACCAGTCACAGCCGCGCTCTGCTCTATCTGACCTGTGCTAAATGTAACAGCAGCTGACTGTAAACATGAAGCAGACAGACCAGAAGAAAAATGATATTATAGACAAGCATGTAGAAACATTTACAGACATTTTTGTGAAAATTATTTGACTTACATTTCACATCAATAGCGATGGATTTAAGTTTTGACCCCAGCTTGTTCACAGCTCTACAGTAATACTCTTCAGAGTCAGAGGACTGGATGGAGCTGAAGGAGAGCTGCCGTTCATTACTGAGAGGTTTTTGTCCATTCTTCTTGTACCAGGAGTATTGAGCTGCTGGGTTAGCATCACTGCTACAGGTCAGAGTCACTGCAGTGCCCTCCTTGATTTCACCAGAAGGACTCACTGACACAGAGGGAAGCTTTGGATCATCTGGAGGAAACACAGGCAGACAACAGCATGTTAATTAGTTCCTTCAAAGGTTGAATTATTAAACAGATCAAACAACACAGAAAGTATTTATCATTTTCACAACTAAATGGAAGTCAATGATCATGATCGGCTGACATGTGAAATCGTTTTATGTCTTAATTTTAAAGGATATATGCAAATATATCCTTTAAAATTAAGACATATAATGATTTCACAAAGATGTTGCATATAAACATAGAAGAAATGGAGCAGTTCAGGGATCAACAGCAGCTGAAATGAATTATGAAGTGGAGAGAGAAGAACAAAGCAGATGTTTGAGGACAAATATTTTTTCAAATTACATGAATACATTTTTGGAAACTTGTTCACCCACATTTGACATCAATGGAGGTATATTCAGATTTCTTCCTCCCCACTTTGTTCTGAGCTCTACAGTAATACTCTCCAGAGTCAGATGGCTGGATGGAGCTGAAGGAGAGCTGCTGTTCACTACTGAGAGGCTTTTGTCCATTCTTCTTGTACCAGGAGTATTGAGCTGCTGGATTAGCATCACTGCTACAGATCAGAGTCACTGATCCGCCCTCCCTGAATTCATTAGAAGGGCTCACCATCACTGACACAAACTTTGGAGCATCTGCGAGACAAACCACCATTGGGCAAATGATGTGGAATTAAAAAGATTTTAACAACTGGAACTCTAGTGTTTTATTATCAAATTTTACATCAGAGGTACAGTATAAGATTGCAGATTTACTAGTCATCACTCAAAGACTTATGACATCTGATGCAGTACATGAAAAAGAAAAATAACATTTTTAAAAAGAGAAAAAAATAAGTAAATACAATCTTGAAAAGAAGAGAAAAATCTCACTATCATAGAGAGAAGTTTTTGGTGGATTTGAGAAAAATGTATAAAAATTGTTCCACTCACATTTCCCATCAATAGAAATATATTCAGATGTCCTCCTCCCTAATTTATTAACAGCTATACAGTAATACTGTCCAGAGTCAGAGGGCTGGATGGATCTGAAGACAAGCTGTCGTTCTTCACTAAGAGGTGTTCTTCCACTTATCTTGTACCAGACAAACGTAGCTGCTGGATTAGCATCACTGCTACAGGTCAGAGTCACTGATCCGCCCTCTTTGATTTCACCAGAAGGACGCACTGACACAGAGGGAGGCTTTGGAGCATCTGCAGGCGATATTATCAAAATCAATTAATGTTAATAAGAACACTGAATATAAGTATTGTGGCTGTCTGTATGTTGTCGGGATATATGAGCAGACCCCATCATGGTTATTGTGAGTCCTTACAAAATTATGTAAAATGATGTTGTTATGTAGTCGTCATTCCTGTATGTGAGGTGTAGATCACTGATGACAGATTATACAACACAGAAACATCACAGTGATGTCAATAAACAGTAAAAAGTTTTCTGTGTTCTTGGTGCTTTTTTGTTGCTGTCAAAAAAAGTTTAAACAATATAGACATTTGCATAAAATACAGTTACCTAATGCTTCAGAAGAATTATTGACATATTTTACAGTTAGTTTAGACATCACTGCACTTTAACTAGGGAAATGTTAAATATGCAACAAATAATGACATAAGGAAGGAAGTGAAACTGTTCAAGAGAAATTAATGTTATTAAAGTTGATTTACTGACATTTCACGTCGATTAAAACAGATTCAGATGTCCTCTTCCCCAG